TAGACCCTGATGGTTCTGGCTGCCGTCGCCTCCTGGTCCAGCATCTTGCTGAGCCGCTTCTCCATCTCTGCATGCTCCTCCTCCAGCTTTTCCAGCGTGGCCCTGAGCTGCCTCATGCGTTCTTTGTGGGGCAGGACGAAGGAGATGTTCGTGGCGGTGATCGCCGCTTCCTGCTCGAGGCTGGTTGTGCACAAGCCGGCCAGCCTAGCACCTGCGATGTTCTCGGTGAGACGCCCCAGCCTGTGGCACTTGGTCTTGTACCACACGAACCTCATCTCTTCGTCATCTGGAGGTGCGGACCAGCTCTCGTGCTCCATCGCGACGGCGAAGGAGACTGGCGTGATGCTGTCCAGGACTGCCTTCTGCTGGGGGCTGTACTGGTAGCTGCCGATGTGGGCTGCGGCAGGCATGTCGAGCTGGTCCCTTCTTCTGCGCCTGCCGCTTCTCTTTCTGGCTGAGGCGCTCCTCCAGGGCGCTCTGTGCTTCCAGTGCTGGTCGCTGTCGCTTTGCTGCTGGTGCTTGTGGGTCTGTGGCTGCTGCTGCTGCTGCTGGTGGCGCTTGTGGGTCTGTGGCTGCTGCTGCTGCTGCTGACTATGCTGCTGCCACTCCCAGGGCCGCCCACCAATGGCTCCGTAGTCGCCAGTCCAGTCTGCGCTGCGCTGGCGCTGCGCCTGGGCTGTGGACCCTGCTCCTGTCCACCTTTTCCCAGGGCCGCGCTGAGACGCCTCGAGGTGTGTGGTCCCTGCTCCTGACCACCTTTCCCTCGAGGCGCCGCGCTGCTGCTGCTGCTTCCAACTCTTCGCCATGTTGTCGAAGGGCTGTGCTGAGTGATGATCTGCAAGTAGTCTGGAGGCCTCGACTACCTTCAAGAGTGTCCTGGCGTGGCCTCGCGCTATGCGGGCCCTCCTGTGCCAACTTTCTTCCTTCTGCCTGGGCGTCTTTCTTTAGCCTAGGCGTCGCGGCCGCGGCGCTTCTCTTCAGCTTTGCTTCTTTAATGGCGCCGCGGCGCGCTGGCCCGGGCTGACGGGGCTGGCCGAACGAGGGGACGACACGACCCCACGCGGCGGCGGGCCCCTCCTCAGCCCGTGGCTTGAGCCAAAATGGCTACGGAGGCCTCCTCCACCTCCTCCTCCTCCTCCTCCCCCCCTCCTCCTCTTCTTCTGTTTCTTCTTCTTCCTCCTCCTCCTCCTCCTCCTCCTCCTCCCCTCCTCCTCCTCCTCCTCTCTCCCCTCCTCCTCCTTCCTCCTCCTCCTCCTCCTCCTCCTCCTCCTCCTCCTCCGCCTCCTCCTCCTCCTCCCCCCCTCCTCCTCCTCCTCCTCCTCCTCCTCCTCCTCCTCCTCTTCCTCCTCCTCCTCCTCCTCCTCCTCCTCTCCTCCTCCTCCTCCCCCTCCTCCTCCTCCTCCTCCTCCTCCTCCTCCTTCTCCTCCTCCTCCTCCTCCTCCTCCTCCTCTTCCTCCCCTCCCCCTCTTCCATCCTCCTCCGCCGCGGTGGGAGGAGGGCGGCACGAGGTGGGGGCCGCTCGGGGGACTTCTCGGGCGTGAATGAAGGAGGGGGCGATACAGTCGGCCCGTATCACAAGGATGCACGATAAGGATGCAAGGGCCTTGGAAGGCCGTTTCGAAGCGTTTCGAGCGGGGCGCGGCCAGCGAAAGTGGCCAAGGATGGACCGAGGAGGCAAGGATGCAAGGGTACCCTTCGGAAAATCGCCCAGCCTTGCTGTGCGGGTTGTCTGCATTTCGGGGGGGGGAGAAACGATTACCTTTCCTGGCCTTTTGAGGGTGCACCGTTTTTCACCTCCCCACCTGTCGCACCCCCATTACTCGACGCCCGAATCTCGGGGGGGAATGGTCGGGTCGGACGACAGGAAGGGGGGGGGGGCTAGGAAAGCGTGATGAAAGAGCAACACACGCTCAAACCTATGAGGGGAGGGGGAAGTGGGGAACGATGGGCCGGCTTCTCGCCACCACTACCATACGTAGGAGAGGGAGAAGGAGGAGGAGGAGGAGGAGGAAGAGGAGGAGGGGGGGGAAGAGGAGAAGGAGGAGGAGGACCTCCCCATCCTCCCTTCCGCCCCGTCCTACCTATAGTAGTGGCCGGGCTGGAGAACTGGCCCATCGGGGAAAGGCATGAAATCTCTGTGCGCCAGAAGTGCGCGTGCGAGCTGTCGGACCCCGATGGGGGGGTCCTGTTCGAGCGGGGACCCCATCCGACAGGGTACTTGGATCATCGCGGGGGCTGCCCAGGGGACAGGGAGGTTAGCAGTGGATGCTAAGGTGTCTGGCCAAACCTGGCTTATACATGGATGGCAAATGCCCTAAGTGGTTTAGGGGGGTACTTGGGCCACCGCGGGGATTGCAAAGGAGACACTCGGACTACAAGTGGATGCTAAGGTGGGCGATGTCCGGCCGAATCTAGCATATAAGCGGGTTGCAAGTGCCACGCGGCTTAGGGTGACTAGAGAACCCCGATAAGTGGGCTCCGCCCAGAGCAAACCCCAGAAGCGCGTGCACCCATAGGACAACCACTGCCGATCGACACGGAGACATTCAACATGAAGGAATTGACAGATGCGTTGTGCCGCCTTCGTCTTGAGAAAGCTGCTGGGCCAGACGGTATCCCCCAGATTTCTGGAAGATCTTGGGTTCGCACCGGGACGCTTCTGCCAATATGCTTCACTTATGTCAGAAATGCTGGGATCAAAAAACAATTCCGGACTCTTGGAGGCGCGCGAACGTAGTTCTTTTATTTTAAAATGGAGATATCGCATTAACAGAAAACTACAGGCCGATTTCGCTATTACAAGTTGGCCTCCGCCCCGGGCGTGGGACAGCAGACGCACTCATGCTTGTCCGGCGCATGATCGACGCTGCACATAACAATAGACACGGAGGCCTTATTCTGTTAATGTTGGATTGGGCCAAGGCGTTCGGCAGGCTCAAACCAGAGAGCATGTGCGACGTTCTGCGCCGATTTGGGTTTCCTGCAGATATGGTGGACATGGTCAAAGTTATTTATGCCGAGCGCTTCTTCACCAATGCCGACCACAGCGGGCAATCAAAAAAGAGGCGACAAGTGGCCAGCATCGCTCAAGGATGCCCTCTCTCACCTTACGTATTCATTGCTGTGCAGTCAGTCATGCTTCATGATATTTTTCAACATTTTGCTTTCGAGGCTGAGCCGGCTTACATAGTAACACGAGACATCTTGTACGTAGACGACACGTTGATGGCCTCACGCAGCAAAGTTAATATTCAAAGGATGCTGAATGCTAGTGTACTGGAAGGGCAGAAATTTGGTCTTGAACCCAATTGGGGCAAAACGCTCCAAATGCATATCTCGACGAACGACGCGGCAACACAACCTGGTGGAGGCCCGATCAAGGTTTTCCGGGAAGCAGTGTAAGGGTTATTTGGGTGGAGCGCTCACTTGCGATGGCAGAGCGACGCCAGAGGTCACCTGGCGCCTCGGCGAAGCTCAACGTATCTTCAAGCAGCTCGCAAAACTTTGGCCCCATGCAACATTGGGCTGGAAAAGAAAACACAAAGTGTACGACAGCTGCGTCCTGGACAAATTATTAGATTCCCTCGATTTCCTTTGGCTATTACAAGCTGACCGGCGCAGGCTCGATGCGTTCCACTGCCGTTGTCTGAGGCGCATGTTAAGTGTCTGGTCTTTTTTTTATTTCAAGAGTTACAACCGCAGACGTTCTAGACAGGGCTGGCGTCGAGCCTCTTTCTCAAGTGTTATTGGGCAGACCAAAGAAATTGTACCACCAAATATCAAGTGGGCCTGTGTCGCTCGTCCGTCTGATGGCATGCCAATAAGATGGTACACCGAAAACTTGGGTGGAACATCGGCGTCGTGGCCGGCCGAGACAGCAATGGGCTTCAGAGGTGTACAAGCTGTGTCAGCACAATTGAGCACCCCTTCTGCTACGTAATTCGGCCTTTGCAGTCTTCCCTCCTCGCCCCCTTCTCCAGCGCGATTCTGAGTTGCAGTGTTAGACTTGTTTTCCCTCGGCGGCCCTGTGCGGTTGTTGTGCCAACTCGTCCTGCTGGATGTACGGCTACGTGGTGGCGGTTGAACGCTAGGTTAGTTCAGATAGAACCCACCTTAGCATCCACTTCTAAACCTTCTGTCCCTCTCCACTTCTACACCCCCTATCCATCTTATCTGCCGACGCGGTGATCCAAGTGGTAAGAAGGGGAGTGGCGAATCAGCTTACGTAGCTGGCTTTCCCCGCGACTCCTGGCGCATTAGGCGCCAATGTGCGGACAGCACCCGGCTGGACCAAAACCAGCTGCACGCAGCAGATGTTATAAATCCCCCTTTCCCTATCCCCCCGTTCGTCCGACCCGAGATGGGGGGGAGGTGGAACCGTCGGGCTTGAATCAGCGATGAATCGCCGATGGATCGGCCACCGGGTTGGGCTATCGGGCTCGTGGGCGATTGGGGTTCGATGCGTTCCCCCAGGAGCCTCCCTCGACAAGCGCGTTCTACTTTTCGCAAAGTAGCTGCTCACATATGGGCACAATCCACCGCGGGGGCTTCACGCTCCATCGCGTAGAGGATGACATGCTTTTTTAGGACGTCTGCGAGTAGACACTCTGCGAGTAGTGAAACGCGCTCGTTGACATTATGAGCATTCGGAAGTCCGCGCAGATTTCTTCGGCCGGCGCTGGACACCTCTCTCCGGTCCAGCGTCTCTGGCAGCGCCTCCGCCGCCGCCCCTGGGGTGCGGGGAAGGGGGGCCTGGAACCGAACCACGAGATATCCACGCGGACCTCCGAGAGCTTGAGCTTCTGCAATTTCTTGTGAAAACCAAAGGTACCGACACCGCTGCTCTCCGGACCTCTCCCAGGGTGCCTTCTCACCAGGATTCCGAGGCGCATCCAGCGGTGGCGGCGCCGGAGACCCGACATCGGCCCAGCAAGGAGAAAAGACGAGGGGAGGGCAGAGGTGTGGGGTACCTCTGCCTCCTCTGAGCTTTCGTCGTCGGCCTGGGAGAAGAGTCCGAGCAGGTGGACCAGGACGGGCTGGGGCCGTAGGCGGGGACGGCGCTCCTGCTCGGAGGGCCTCCGCACCACCACCGCGGAGGCCCGGCCGGGGCCCCCCTCGGCCCCGGCGCGGCGCGCAAAGCCGCCCTGGCCGAGGCCAAGGCGGTCTGCGTTGCGCGCTGTCCTGGGGCACAGGGCGGCCCTGGCCAGGCACGCGACTGCTCGAGAGTCCAGAATTCGCTGGGGGCTGGTTCGCTTGCAAGACAGCCGGAGCCCTTCCGAAACCCTCCGGGAGCCCTCCAGGAAGGGTTCCCAGAGGCTTTTGTCCGAGGGTTTCGGAGGGATTTGTTTGCAGGGTTTGCGGCGTTTTGAGGGGGGGGGGGGGGGGGGGCAGTCCCTAGCGAACCCTGGGCTTTTCTATGGCCAGTGGTGTACAGATGCCTGCTGTGGAGCTCCTGTCGGTCCAGGTGTGCGCCATGCTGTAGGTCGAGCGCATGGCTGTCACCTGGTCGGTCGGTCGGTCGGAGTCGTAGGCTGCGGGCAGCCCACGGACGTGCGCGGCAGCAGGCAGATCGGCGCGTCCGGGAGCTGCCCGCTGCAGGACGCGGAATCGAACACCACGCGCAGGCATCTTCGAAGGAAAGCGCCGATGGAGGGAGGCGAGGAAGGCCAAGGGGAAGGCGAGACGAGGGAGGAAAGCGAGAGGCCCGGGCCGCTCGCAGGAGGCGCCCCGCGACGGGCCGAGGAACGTCGGCGCCTCCTCGGAGGGCGGCGCGAGGCCGGCGCGAGGCCGGCAACGGCCGAGCGGCAGGGACGGGGCCGCGCAGCGACACGGGGGACACCTGGCGGAGGCCTGCGGGAGGGCAAGGGGAGGGCCAGGCGAAGGGGGTAGGGGAACGAGCAACGACATCAACATAAAAGCTCGGGGGTCCGCGCGGATTTCTCGGATCGGCGCTGGGGCCCCCTGGCGGCGCCTCCAGCGCCGCCCCTGGCGCGCTCCGCGCGCCAGGGAGGGGGGTCCACCGCGGATCCAAGAAATCCGCGCGGACCTCCGAGTTTGTATGTTTATGTAATTTTTCGGTTCCCTAGGGGAGGGGATAGCAAATGGAGGGGGGAGGGGAGAATCAGCTCACGTAGCTGGGCGGCGCCATGCGCCGAGGAACGGACCCCTCGGCGGGGCCGAAACCAGCTGCAGGCAGCAGGTTTCGTACCCCCCCCTTTCCCGATCCCCCCCTTTCGTCCGGCCCGACAAGGGGAGAACGCCGCAGGTCCAAAGCAGTGGCCCGCAAAGATACCCAGACCCGCGACGCCATGACTTCTTCATGACGCGACCCCCTCAGAGGTCCAGACCCCTTCCCTGGGACCGGCTTCTCATCCTGAGCCGTTGTTTGACGGCCCCAGGGCCCAGAGATCAAAAACAGTGGCCCGCCAAGAGTAGAAGAAGAAAAAGAAGAAGAAGAAGAAACAACAAAAAAAACATACACATGTAGACTTTTGGTGCTCCGCGCGGATGTCTTGGCTCTGCGCTGCCCCCCCCCCCGTGGCGCGCGGAGCGCGCCTGGAGCGGCGCCGGAAGCGCCGCCGGGGGGGGCCGGGCGCCGATCCAGGAAATCCACGCGGAGCGCCAAGAGTTTCTGTTTATGGTGTTGCTGTTCTTCTTCGAGGGAGGGCAGGGGGAGGGCGCGGGAGGTCCAAAACAGCGGCCCGCCAAGAGACGGCACAGCGTTTTCGACGCAGGGGCTCCCGGAGCGGGGGCCGGGGCCGGGGAGACCTGGAGCTCGGTCTCGCCGTCGCACTCCGTGCTCTGGTCGGCAGAGATCCGAGGGTTGCACACGTCCTTGGGGCTCTCCAGCTCGTCCGTGCTGCTCTCGCCGAACAGGGTCGCCAGGCGGGCCTTGGTGCGAAGTATCCTCGAGCTCTCGAGAGGCAGACCTCGAGCAGGGGATCGACTGCAGAATTGAGTTACCCCGCGCTTGGTTTCCCCGCCAAATCTACGAATAAAAAAGTGTCTCCTCCTCCTCACACACTTCCTCCACCTACCCTGTCAAGTTGTCCTTTAGCTCCTTCCTGTGATCACACATCCCGTCGCCATCGACGGCCAAAACCTTAAGGGTCGGCAGCACTGGCCGTAAGGCCTTCACAATAAGGTGGGGGCATTGGATGAGGAACCCTTAGATAAGGAGTCCAGGGTCTGTCTGGAGGCCGGTGAAACTCCAGTCGAAGCTTGGCCATGGATATCGCCGCTGCCCTCATCACATAAGGAATCCTCCAGGGTCTGCAGCCTCCTGGGCTCATTCCTTAACCAACGCCCCCACCGTACGCATCATGTCCCGTAGATGAACGAACATTCGCATCGTTTCTGGTATATTCGGCGAGGAAATCAAGTTTGGAGTAACATTAATTCTGCGCGAGATCTCCCCTCCGAAGACCGAGCTCCACGGGCGCCGAGATCGCCTTGCGCTGAGGCACGGCGTCGGCGAAGCTGTCCGTTGGCCCCATCGACTCCATGCGGAGCACCCCTGCTGGGCAGCCCTCGGCCAAGAGGCCCTCGGGCTGCGCGCCGAGCACCTCACCAGACCTCCAACGTCGTGAACCCTTCACTTGAGACGAAGCCGGGACTCGGAAAACATCAGACCCGGGCAAACCTGGGACCTCTGAGGTCTGATGCTTCTGGAGGGTGTATCGAGCGCCGCGTTCGGTCGCCGAAGCCCTTCAAGGGAGATCCGGCTCTCTGGAACGCTCTGGGACGATTGGTCCTGGCCCCAGCCCCGCCCGATCCAGTTACTACGGGGTCCCTGGAGCTCCCGACTCTGTCCCTTCGAACCAGCAATTCATCCCAGGTCATTTCTTGCTACTCCCGGAGCGGCCAGCAAAACCTGCCGCCTCGAGTTTGCCGTGACGCCTGGGGGTCCGGCCTCTCCTCCTCCTCCTCCTCCTCCTCCTCCTCCGCCTCCTCCTCCTTCTCCTCCTCCGCCTCCTCCTCCTCCTCCTCCTCAAAACCGACCCCCACGGCTGTCCTGGGGTGCGCTCTGGCCTGAGCTTCTCGCCGGGGGGAATCCCGCCGTGGCGACGGGTCGGCGAAAGGAGGAAGGGCAACGGCGGGCTTCGCGAGCCAGCTGCATGCAGCTGCTTCTCCCGGCGCCTCCCGGCGCGAGCGACAGTGCATCGAGGAGCGCGCTGGGCAGCGGGGCCGAAACTGGCTGCACTGCACGTGCAGCACGCGCCGCGCGCGCTCTCCTCTGGGGAGCCGGGCGGCGGCACCACGGCGAGTGCGGAGTAGCTCGAGTATACCGCCTGACGCTACAAGCGTGGAGGAATCCTCGATGGGGTCGGAGCAGGTGGGGTCGGAGGATCGCGCCGCATCGCCAATGCGTCGCCGATGCATCGGCGATACATCGGCGAGGTCGGCGTGCTGATCGAGCCGCATCGCCGCCGCATCGCCGATGCATCGGCGAGGCGGCGCGATCCGCCGACCCCATCTGCTCGGACCCCATCTGGGAGGCCTAGAAAGGGGGGGTCTGGGTGAAAGCAGAAGCATGCAGAACAGATGTCGCGCACTCACACACACACACACACACACACACACACACACATAGGCACTCACCTCCTCCTCCTTCTCCTCCTCCTCCTCCTCCTCCTCCTCCTCCTCCTCCTCCTCCTCCTGGGCAGACCTGGGCGCCTCGCTCTGAGCCCACGACGTCGGATGCCTGGGCACCCCCCTGCCCCAGCGGCCACACCTCCAGCAACGGGGGCCCCACGCATCGGGAGCGGCCAAGAGGGGGGTGTCCAAGAGGGGGGGGTGCAACTCGTGGCGCGCGGCATGTGCGCGGCCCAGCGGGGGGGGAGGGGGGCCAGGGACGCCATGAGATGATAAGAAGCGGCGCCATGCAATCTGGGGAACTATCCTGGCCCACGCCATGACATCCCCCCCCCTAGTCGCCACCCCCCTCGCTTCCGCCCCCGAACGCAGAGGGAGGGCTCCGCCCCTGCCCCCGGGAAACACGTCCCCGGCCCGTCGGCCCCGAGGGCCCCGAGGAGCGCCCCCCCCCCCCCACCGCGAGAGCCGGCGCGCCGCACACACGAGGGGCGGGCCGGCACCGGGAGCTGCGGGGTCAAGAGCAGCGTCAAGTCGGGCGTGTCCCCCTCCAGGGGGATGTTTGACGAAAAATAAGAAATTATTCACCAAATACTCAAAAGATGCCCAAACATACTAACAAAAATATCCCCGGACTATGTTTGGACTATTTCTGAAGACTCCCCCTGTAGAGGGACAGGCCCGACTTAAGAGCAGCGTGCGATCGCGCGGGGCGGCCTGCAGGGGCCCCCCCTACGGGCGAACTGCAGGTCTTCGGCGGCGTCCAGGAGGGGGGGCGTCCCGGGGAGGGGCCCAGGGGAACAGCAACAAAAAAACAGCACAAGCACAAACCTGCCTGTCGGCTCTGAGGGGCGAAACAAGAAGAAGAAGAAGAAGAAGAAGAAGAAACGCCACGAACATGAACTTTCGACGGTCCGCGCGGACTTCTTGGATCCACGCTGGACCCCCCCTCCCTGGCGCGCGGACTGCGCCAGGGGCGGCGACGGAGGCGCCGCACGGGGGGCCCAAGCGCGGATCCCAGGAAGTCCGCGCGGAGCGCCAAGAGTGTCCGTGCATGCAGTTATCTCTTCTTCGAGGGAGGGCAGGGGGAGGGCGCGCGGGAGGTCCAGAACAGTGGCCCGCCAAGAGAGACGGCACAGCGTTGGCGAACGCAGGGGCTCCGGGAGCGGGGAGCAGAAGTGCACGGTTGTGGCGGTGTGTATCGTCCTCGAGGGTCGTAGAGCATGGCCCCCAGGCACGTGCGCGGACGATGGGGGGGGGCGGGGGACGTGCCGAAAGAAGCAAACAAGTAAAACAACAACAACAACAACAACAACAACAACAACAACAACAACAACAACAACAACAACAACAACAACCACAACAACAACAACAACAACAACCATTTTAAGGCTGTACGCTCTTACTTGCCCGCGAGTCATTCAACACGTATACCCTACACCCTCGATGCCCGCCCTCTTCGTCTTCGATCACACCCCTTTCGGGGGGATTATTTCTCTTTGCTGGGGCCGGCGGGCTTAGACGTACGGGCAAACCGGAACGGGCGGACAATCCTTCGGGGGCGTACATCTCTCTGCCCGCCATTGGAATTGGCGCGGGCCCTGCAAGAGGAGGAGGGGAAGAACGAGGGAGAGTGGGAGGAAGGGGAGGGGGAAGGACGAAGGAAGAGGGAAGATACCACGTTGTGAAGGCGTCCTTGGCGCGCGCGTGGTTCCTGAGCGCCGAAACGCAATTCCAGAATAATTTGTGAGGACGTCGCACGCGAGAGCGCAGTCCTGAGTACATTGTGAGGAAATCTCAGGCGGAAGCGGGGGCCCTGACTAAGTTGCGAGGAAGTCTCAAGCGGGAGCGCCGTTCCTGAGCAAATTGCACGGAAGTCTCAGGCGGGAGCGGGGGTCCTCACTAAATTGCGAGGAAGTCTCAGGCGGGAGCGCCGTTCCTGAGTCAATTGCGCGGAAATGTCAGGCAGGAGCGGGGGTCCTGAGTAAAATTCGAAGAAGTCTCAGGCGGGAGCGCCGTTCCCACGTAAATTGCACGGAAGTCTCAGGCGGGAGCGGGGGTCTTGATTACATTGCGAGGAAGTCTCAGACGGGAGCGCCTTTCCTGAGTAAATTGCGCGGAAGTCTCAGGCGGGAGCGGGGGTCCTGAGTAAAAATCGAGGAAGTCTCAAGCGGGAGCCGTTGTTGTTGTAGCCCGGGGGGCAGGGGCACAGTTTGAGCAGGAAGACTTTCCTTGAGAAAGAATAAGGTGCGAGCCCCGGGGGTGGCACTTCAATCGAAAAAAATCGATGTGCACCGGTGGGGGGGATCAACAATAATTATTCTTCAAGAATGAGAGTTCAACAACAACAACAACAACAACAACAACAACAACAACAACAACACCAACACCAACACCAACACCAACACCAACAACAACAACAACAACAACAACAACAACAAGTACAACAACAACAACAACAAGAACACCAACAACAACAACAACAAGTTTAAGACAGTTCGCCCTTATATGCTCGAGTGTCCAATAACGCGTATGTTCCAAACCCTCGATACCCGCCCTCTTCGTCTTCGATCGAACCCCTTTTGGGGGGTATACCTTTCTTCCCTGCAGGCCGGGCCCCGGCAAGCGGCGGGGCGGCCGCGGACCGTCGGCCTGGCCAGCGGCAGCGCTGATCGGCGGGGCGGCCGCGGACCGTCGACCCGACCCCAAGAGGGACGGACAGGGGACCGACCACGACGACGACGACGACGAAGACGACGGCGACGACGACGACGACGCGACGACGAGCGAAAGCGAGAGCGAGAGAGAACGACAGCAGGGCCACGAAGGGCACGAAGTAGGCCACGAAGGGCGACAGCGGGGACACGAAGGGAATGCGTATGGGGCCACGAAGAGCGCGAACGAGCGGGGGCCACGAAGTGCAGATAATGCGGGGCCACAGAAGGCAACTATGGGGCCACTGAGGGTAGCAACTGGGCCACGTAGGACAGTGAGGGGGACACAAATGGCGACAGCGGGGCCACGAAGGGCATGCACATGGGGCCACAACGGGCGCGACTCCTGGGTGCCTGGGTGTCGGGAGCGCGGCGCTTGGGCAAATTACAAGAAATTCCAACGCAAGGCCATTCTTCAGTAAGTTGCAAGCAGGTCTCCATCGAGAGCGCGACTCCAGAGCGCCGGGAGAGCGATTCCTTCTTAAATTGTAAGGAAGTCCCAAGCGAGAGCGCGATTCCTGAATCACATGCGAGGAAGTCTCGGGCGGGAGCGGGGGTCCTGGCTAAATTGCAAGGAAGTCTCAAGCGGGAGCCGTTGTTGTTGTAACCCGGGGGCCAGGGGCCCAGTTTAAGCAGGAAGATTTTCCCTTTCAAAAAACAGGGTGCGAGCGTCGAGGGGCACACTTTGATTGAGAAAAAACATTATGCACCGGTGGGGGGGGTCAACAATAATTATTCTTCAGAAATGAGAATTCAACAACAACAACAACAACAACAACAACAATCATTTTACCCGAACGCTCAGTGTTCTCACCAGTGCCAGGGTTTTCATGCGACGCGAGACAATACCCCCACTTCGTGGGGGGGCAGTTCAAGCTCTACCAAATATCCAAACGACTCTTCGCGACCACCCAAACCCAGCTTCCCGCCCTATGACGTTGGGACACTTCACTTCGTGGCGTGCGGACGACCGTGGCTACTACACTGGCGTGGGGTACACACCCACAGAACTTGGTCACTTATTCGGGGCGCGCGTGTGCCCAGCATCCTGCAATTGTGACATACAATACATGACACAGACAGACAGAGAGAGAGACAGAGAGCAGACAGAGAGAGAGACAGAGAGAGCGGAGTTGGTCACATTTTTGGGGCAAGTTCCTGAGATCGTCGTGTTTTTTGTTGGTCGTGCGCGCGCAGGTGTTTTTCGAGGACCTACGGTGCGATTCGTGTGATTTTATGATGCGCGGTGCTAAAATTCTTAAAAACCCAATGATTTTTGGAGATTTCGGCGTGCGCGCGCGAAGAAAAAACGAATATGTCCCGCATGGTATTATTTGACAGGGATGATGGCCCTGGCAGGTGCGCAAACGTTGTCGCAGAAGTTCGAAAAAGTTGCTCGCAAAAGCCCGTTTGACAGAATTGTTTAAAAAGTGTTGGTTTTCCTACGAATCCGCAAGAGCGCGCGGAAGAACATTTTGACAATTTTTTCTTAAAAAACCATTGGGTTTTTGATGTTTTTATGTTAAAATCGCTACGAAACCTAAGGTTTTGGAAGGATTTCGTCTTGCGCGCACGAATGTCCACTTTACCTTATTTTTTGCAAGGGATTCTTGCAATTTGATCAAGTAAGAACAAGAATTTTCATTTTATAGTGTTTTTTGCAAGGGAAAACGGAGTACAACAAAACAACCGGATCCGGTAATAATTCACTTTTCTGAAGCTTTCGCTAAAAAATGATGAAAATGTAGCTGCGGCCTAGGTTTTGGAGGGGGGTCGCGCACCAGGGGTCCCAACAATAATTATTCTTTAGAAGTAATAATGTTCAACAACAACAACAACAACAACAACAACAACAACAACAACAACAACAACAAAAGGGGCCGGGAGATCAAGGGAGTTCTCGCGGCCCCAGCCATGGTCTCCATCCCCCCTATTTCGTCTTAGGTCGGGCACGTCCTCCTGCAGGAGGACTTTGGACGACAAGTAAAAAATAGTCCAGCAAAAAACAAACATAGTCGAAAGAGCACGAAACATCGTCACTAGACCATGTTGCTACCATGATTGACAAGTCCTCCTATAAAGGGACATGCCCGACTTGAACTTTGGCAGCCCCCGAGTTCTGCGCGACGTGCCGCCAAGAGGAAAGAAAACGCCGGGACCGAGAGCAGAACCATGCGCCCAGGGAGCCTGGGACGACACAGAAGGCACCCACTGGGGGATCCCAAAACCGTGTGGTGACAGACCGTGAGGTGACCTCGAAACCCCAAGAGACCTCACTGCACGGTCCGTCACTGCACGGTCTTGGGACTCTGGAGGCCCCTGTCGCTTGAGTAGGGCTGGGGGTTCAGATCTGCAGAACACCCCAAACGGGCGTCAAGGGGAGCAACCAAACTGTTCGGTCAAGCTGAAGTTGATGCACCACACCCAGCGTCAAACCAAGACTTTGGACATAAGCGAACGGTTGGACGTTGCACATCTTCGTCGGCTTGACCGGCGAAGCCTTTGACCACCCTGAAGTCCCTTTTCTGGTGGTCCTGCAGAGGAAGGCGCCCTCTGCCCCGTCGGCCCCTGCTCAACCTGTCGCCCGAGACATCCTCGGAGAGGGACTCGAGCCCCGAAACCGTGCGGTGGCCCCGAATCCCCACCGACTCACCGCACGGCGTGGCCACCACACCCTCTGGGGGCCTCCAAGGCCCGCACACCACCGCCCGCGCCTGGCCCGGGCCGTCCCGGGCCCAGGAGGGGGCGCATGCTGGCCTCGGCGCCAGGACGGCCGCCGCGCCGTCCTCGGCCGCTTGAAGGCCTTGGCCAGCCACGGTGGTCTTTGAGATCTGACGCTGCGAAAACAAGGCGACGATACCAGAAAAAGAAAGCATGAAAGAACAACAAAAAAAAACACGACTGGAGCCCCAAACCCCCGTCTTCCTGCTGCACTGGTCGAGCCCGGTCGTGCTGCGAGGGCCCTTGTTGGGGCCCATGGCCGGGGGCGAAAAAACGCCCCGTGCGAAAAGCCTGCGACTCCCGCGGCGGTGCGCCTGCACTGGCCGGGCCTCGATGAGATCGGTCGAGACGGGGAACGCGGACGCATCCGCTCACGATCGGTCCCCGGACCCCTCGAAGGGTCGAAACGGACCACCGTTTCGAGCCGCGCCCGGCCGTGGCGACGAGGGGGTCCCTTCCTCTCCCCATGTCTGCAGGTCGCAGCCAGTGCTGGGCCACCTCAGCCGCCCAGCCAGCTCCAACCTGGAGGTCTCTCATGCGTGCCTCCCCCGGGCCCAGGCCCCCCCACTCGTTTTGCCAGCGAGGGGGGCAGCGCGCGGCCTGCAGACGGGGGCGACGACCCCGACCGCGGATGCTGGCAGCTGTCTTGCTCTCCCCCCGTTCCGTCTCCTCCTCCTCCTCCTCCTCCTCCTCCTCCTCCTCCTCCTCCTCCTCCTCCTCCTCCTCCTCCTCCTGCCGTAGCCATTTTGGCTCAAGGGGCCCGTTCCTGAACTTCCCAACCTCGCTCGAGTGCGGCCACAGGGGCCATTGTGCAACCACGGCACCTTTGTCTCAGGTGCTAATATGTCTCCTTTTTGCTTTCCATCTCAGGGCTTGGCAGCGATGGCCTGGCGCGCGGGCGCCCCCTGGCGCAACGGCGGCTGGCGCGGCCGCGGCGGCGCGAAGGGAGCCCACAAAGGTGTTGAGAAGAAGCAGAAGTCATATGATGTGTGCTCAGTGTGCAAGCATTGGGGGTACACGACCTATGGTAACTGGTGTTGTTCTAAGTGCGGTGGCCTCTACATCGGAGATGACGAAGTTGCCCCTGCTGGACGTACGGGCGGGGAGCGTGGAGGAGCCGAAGCCCAAGGAGGAGGTGGTGGGGATGACTTGCGTGCCGCTGCGCAAGTTCTGTTGGCTGCTCGACCTGATCTGCATGGTCAATTGGGAGAGTTCGTGCAGCCCCCACCACCTGAAGTTTCAGAATGGACTCAGGCTCAGCCCACGGATGGTGCTTGCACCGAGCGCACGCGCCTCATACGTGAAGTTGAGAACCATGCTGGAGCGTTTCGCCTTGCCTCTCAAGACTTGCACCAGCGCAGGTCAAAGGTGCAGCGCCTGCAGGAGCGGCTCGCGGATGCGCAGGCTGCGACGCAGGCGGCGCTGGAGGCGGAGCGAGAGGCGCAGCCGAAGAAGACGGCCGCGGACGAGATGGCCGCGGCCTTCAAGGCGGAGGACTCGACCTCTCAGAAGCAGCAGGAGCTCGCGGCGGCTGCGGCGGCCGCGCGCGCGGCGGAGGCGCGGGCGCGGGCCGCGGGCGCTCCCCCAAGCAAGGGGCGGCGGGCGGCCCGCGTGCCCCGCCAGGCGGCGGGCCTGCGGGCGCAGGCGTGCCTGGCGTTGGCGGCGCGGCCGATGGCCGACCGCCCCGTGGTCGGAGCTGGCGGCGCCCGCGGCCCCGCAGCTGATGGTGATGCACCGATGCATGCTGATCTACCGGACCCCACTGGCAGTGATGAGCTTCGCGTGCGCGAGTGTTGTGCTGAACGTCGGCTGCCCGCCCAGTTCGTGGAGCAGTTCGTGCGGCTGCAGAAGCAGATCTACGAGATACCCTGGTCGGAGGCGGGGCCCGATGCGGGGTCTGATGCTGGTGATCTTCTGCCTCCTGACGGCGCCGATGAGCCGGCCGCCCTCAGGAAGCGCTCCCTCGAGGGCGCCATGGAGCAGTCCGACCAGCACCGCATGGAAGAGCTCATGTCCCAGAGGTCTGCAGCACGCGCGGCCAAGCGCATGCGGCGGGCCCAGGAAGCGGTTGGTGCGCAGTTCAAAGATCTCTTCCAGGCAGCTGTCCAGCAGATGCCCAGACCATCGGTTTAGCAGTGAGCCGCGTGTAAGGCTTGTCGATTGTAATATAACTCGTTGGAGTGCAGTGGGGAAGTCTTTCCTCGCCGATTTGCATCTGAAGGCTGACGCCTTTCTGTTCTGTGAACACCGCCAGCTCCCCTCCGAGTTGAAGGATGCTAAAAGACAGGTGACCGCCATGAAATGGCGACCTCATTTTTTGCCTGCCTCTCCCTCCCCAGGGGGTGGTGCCCATGGGGGGGGTAGGAGCTGCGGTGCACAGAGGGCTGTTCTTTCAGAAGATTCTCGCGCAAGATCTCGTGACCCGTGAAGTAGGAGCTGGTAATGGTTGGATGTTTCTGGAGCCGAAAACCCAGAGGTGCACCCTAGCCGTAGGAGTAATCTATATGGTCGCTGACTTTGGGGTCTCGAGGAAGAACATCCGGAAGATGATGCACATGAGTAACTTCGTCAATTCGGTCGGTATCCCTTGGTTGTTGGTTGGCGATTTCAACTTTGATATTGAACTCATGGAGCTCTGTGGGTTTTTGAAGATGACCCAGAGCAGAGTTTTGCCGCCAGTGGGAGATGAGCACACGTGCAGCATGGGGAAGGGTACGCTGATTGATTGTGCGGCTGCTACCCGGGCGCTTTACCTGAAGGTGAATACGTACCATGCGTCCCCCTTCAAGACGCACTGTGCGCTCGACATCCAGCTTCCACATGCAGCTGTCTTGCAGAAGTTGAGTAAGAGAGTGAAGCCGCGAAGCTTCCCAGTCGTTGAAGAGCCACGTCGTCCACGGTTCCCCTACTTTGCTGCTGCCATTGCGCGGTGGCGTGCTGAGGACCTGTCTTACCCCCACCTCGTTCCTCGCACATGTCGGCACTTGTCCTACGATTTGACGTCGTATTATCAGATATGGTCACGAGCTACTGAGGATATGATCATGATGCACGTAGACATTGAGCATGATCACGAGTATGCATGTTATGCTGGCCTTGGCACGCATGCGAGTGCACGGCGCACCACGCTCGTGGATCATCGTGACACGTCTGGAAGTTTCCTGGAACCAGCGCTGGCGTACTGGTCTACTGTCTCCCAGAAGTTGTTTGAGCTGAGAGTGGCAGTACAGCATGGGCATCATTGTAACATGAGTCTTGGGCTGGCTCGCCGTCTCTATGCATTGGGACAGCGCGTGGACCAGTTCACGGCGTGCTTGCCTGCCGACCAGTCTGGTGCGGAGTGGCAAGCTCATCTGTCCCATTTAATGAGTGTCGATCCTGCGCGCTGCCAGGAGATGATCGATCGATGCTCGCGCACGCTCACTAAGGCCTGGCACGCTGCCAGGACCTCGTCTGCTAAGGCGGTCAAGGACTGGCTCCTGCGGGCGTTGCCTCAGGGGGCCAAGAAGGCCCATGCGTGGCTGAAGCGTGACCAAGTTGAATCGCTGGGGCGTTTCGTCGCCCCCGAGGGCGTGCTTCAGCTGCCGGGGGAGATGGTGGCCCACCGTACCAAAAAATGGAGTCGCTTCTGGACGGCCAGCCCATCCCAACTCGATGCGCTCGATGAAGCGTTGGATGAGCTACGGTTGCGGGCGCTGCAGGGCGCCCCTGAGCTTCCGGATATCGAGCCCCCGGGTGTGTTTGCGGCGAGCCGAATTTTCCCTGAAACTACTGCCCTGGGGGTTGACCACTGGAGGCCCCGTGATTTCCTGAACTTGGACGCCCAGGCCCTGGCCGCCCTGGCTCAGCTGTCTACGTCGCGCGAGAAGGCCATGACGTGGCCCGCCCAGATTTGCTCGGGGATCGTCCCCCCGTTTGCCCAAAAGCGCTCTTGACGAGCGCCCTGTTTGCAAGTGTCTGGCCCTTTATAAGGTCGACGGCAAAATCCGTACGGGTTTTCTCGGAGCAGTGATCCGGGGGGGACATGAATTTCTGGGACGACGCGGTCCGTGGAAGCTCTGCCCTGCAGGCTGCTCTTAGGAGGGAGATCCGTCACGAGGTTGCTATGCTCGAGGGCGTCAAGGGCGTGACGGTGCACTGGGATCTCACCAAGTTGTTTGACACGGTGGTCCCCGCGCGGCTCGTCTCTTTCGCCTGCGATCTTGAGTTTCCTCCCCACCTCCTCTACCTGGGCCTCCTGATTCATGTCGCTTCGAGAATGTCGGAATCGACTGGTTTCTGTTCTGATACTATAGCCTCGGGCATTGGGGTCCTCCCTGGGTGCGTGCAGTCTATGTCTTGGGTCAAGGTGTATGTGTACCAGATCATGCAGGACGTTCACCAGCGGTTTCCACCTGGGGTCTCCACTAGGTCGCATGTAGATGATCTCTCCCAGGTGGCCCAGGGCGTGCGGAGGAAGTGCGCGAGAAGATTGTTTGTGCTGCTGTGCACTTGGGCCATTCTCTGGAGTCAGTGGAGCTGATTCTATCGGACAAATCTGCCATCGTGGGCAGCAATCAGCCGCTCACCCTCTCGATCCTGAATGACCTCAGGACTGCTGGTTTCAAGTTGAAGGCTGCTGGCGCCACTCGGGACCTGGGCACCTCTACCACTGCTGGTAAGAAGTTCTGTGGTCATTATGAACCAGAGGCGGCGAACGGCTGCCCTGAAAGCCCGTAAGGCTCGGTTTCTTACTAAGTTGGTAAAAAAAACTTCTAAACAGTGTTAGCTGTCGGTACCTGGGGGCACCAAGTAGTGGGGCTTTCTACGAACCAGGTCCAGAGTGTGCGAGGGAAGGCTGCTGCTTGCTCAGGTGCTTGGCATGCTGGTGCATGCTCTACTACTATCCTCGGCACTATGGGAGGGGTTCGTAGTGACCCGATTTATCGACTTCGCCGTGAGCATCTCGAAGGCTTCGCCTCCACTTGGGCTGCTCTGGGGCATTCGTTTCAGTTGAAGGCTTCTGCTCTCTGGAGGAGCAAGGTTCAGGAGTTCAATAGTATCCCAGCCAAGAATATATGGCGTCGAGTGCGAGGCCCTGTGGCTGCTACTGTTGCTGTTCTGCTCGATCTAGGATGAGTCCCCTTTCTCCTGCACGCTGGCGTAACGAGCGGGGCGCATTGATCCAGCTGTCCCAGCCTGAGTTTCGCGCGCACCTTCGCCGCTCCATCCAGCTCACGTGCGATGCTATTGATTGGCGGCAAGCAGCTCGGCACTACATGGGGGAAGGAGTCGAGGGAGGTGTTGATTTCACGTCTCTTCATAAAGAGTATCGGAGGATGGGGCGCGAGCTGGATCGCGAGGGGCAGGCTATTATGATGAATATCGTCTCGGGAGGTTGTTGGACGGAGCTTCGATCTTCGATTGCACGAATCTGGCTACGAGTCTGCTGCCCTAGGTGTTTGTGCGCGTTGCGGAGAGCAGCAGGAGACCCCTTTTTCCACCGCTGCTGGCAATGTCGTAAGAACGAGTTCAATCCAGACACGACGGTCGGCGACTCCGCCCACCTGTCTGAGCGTGCTGCTCAAGATGATTGCGTTGCCCTGGCTGGCCGCTTGGTCGCACCATAGGGCACCTTCCCGCTCCTTCCGACGAGAGTTGGTCCCAGGGATCGGTCGAGGATCGGGAGGTCAATGAAGGAGGAGTTTGGGGGATCGACGGATCGGGGGGAAGTTTGCTAAGGATTCCAGACTAAGGAGATGCGGGTGGGCTTGAGTGCGCATGTCCGCTACCTTAGATGATGTTGATGGTGGCGTTGCTGGCACCCTGCCAGGCTCCGACCAGTCGTCTCCTCGTGCCGAGCTCATGGCGCTGATTTTTGTACCCCAGTATAATTCAGGCAGAGTTTGATGTTCAGCGATTACCTTCCTGCTGTCCGTGGTTTCCGAAGGCCGAGGTCGGCCATGATAAACTGTGACATGGTTGATTTATGGGTTAACCTCTGGAGAGTCCTGGATCGACGGAGTGGGGATGTGGACTACGTTGGACAAAGAGTCACCCCACTGAAACCCAAGTCAGCTCCCTCGGGTTCACCCGCATCGAGCGTGTTTTTAACGAGGCTGTCGACGCATGTGCGTCAGAAGCTGCGAGGAGGGCTGAGGTTCCCGAGCATCTCTCGGCCCAGAAGCATTTGCAAGATGACCTCCCACGTGGCCGTCCTCCGACGCCTCGTGGCCATCCAGCGAGACGTTTTCTCGACTTGCCCTCGTGACGGGCCGAATGCTCGTGTTGGGAGAGACGAAGGTCTCGACCACGTGCGTCGGAGGAAGCGCAGTGTCGCAGCAGCTCGTGAAGATAGGGTGCGAGAGCAAGGCCACTGCCCCGTCCTGCTCCGCACCTTGATCAAGTGTAGCATCTGTCGTGCCAAGTTCAGCGCGTACACTGGCAGTCGTTTCGCACGCTTCGCCGCCTCGAGGAGTGAGGATCAGTTGTTTGATCCTGAGCCCGCGGTGGTGGGCGCTGAAGCTCATCCGTTGGCCATGGGATTTGTATTGCTCGACCTGTGGGTGCTTCGCGGTGCAAAGCTGTCGCGGCCTGCGGGTGCAGTGCGACCCTCCGACCCGCACAGGACTGCAGGTTCTGCGGCGTCTGGCACGAGGGCTCCCGCCGAATTTGGGAGGGTGTTTCCCTCGTGAGTGATGTGGCTGAGGCGGCTGAGCTGGCACTCGGGAGCCGCAGCCGCGCACTCGCCATAGCGCCGTAGCGCTCCTCCTCCTTCTCCTCCTCCTCCTCCTCCTCCTCCCCCTCCTCCTCCTCCCCCATCCTCCTCCTCCTCCTCCTCCTCCTCCTCCTCCTCCTCCTCCTCCTCCTCCTCCTCCTCCTGCTCCTCCTCCTCCTGCTCCTCTTTCTCCATTCCTTTCTCTTATAAATAACTTCTCCCTGTCGCACCCCGAGGCCAGCTTTCAGGGCGGGTCAGTTTTGACTCTGAAGCTTAAAGATGGCAACACCTTCACGGATGGAGGGCGGGTGGTTTGCAAAATGTGGCTCTCGCCTCAGCGCCGCGCACATTCATCTTAAAACTTCACAAGCGCTTCACGGATTGAGATAGCCCGTTTTCAAAATGTGGTTCTTGCCTTAGCGCCGCGCACATTCGTTTTAAACATTTGTAAAAGCTTCACGGATTGAGGGTGGTTCCTTTTCAAAGTGTGGCTCTCGCGTTAGCGCCGCGCGCATTCGCTTAACCAATTTGCAGGAGATTTACAGATTCCCACGATCAACGTACCAAAAATTGCGTTTCGGAAAGATTCCAGGTTTTGCGGGTGGGACAGTTACGTTGATTCGCGGTTTTGATCCAGGACCGTCAAGACGCGACAGTCAAATTGATCCGTGGCGTTGGAATCCCGAGAACAATGTTGTGGCATGCTTCCGGGTCTTCGAACGGTTGCCCTCCAACGAGGCAGATCCCTCAATGGAAACGAACCGTTTGTAGGGGCCCATGAAGAGGGAGCTTGGAGGGAGGGTGTATTCCAACATCGTTGATGGCTCTTGGGTTTACACTGGTCCTCCTCCTCCCCCTCCCCCTCCTCCTCCTCCTCCTCCCCCTCCTCCTCCTCCTCCTCCTCCTCCTCCTCCTCCTCCGCCTCATCATCATCACAGCAGCAGCAGCAGCAGCATCAGCATCAGCATCAGCATCATCAACCTCCCTCTCCTCCTCCTCCTCCTCCCTCCTCCTCCTCCTCCTCCTCCTCCTCCTCCTCCTCTCCTCGTCGTCCCTCCTCCTCCTCCCTCCTCCTCCTCCTCTCCTCCTCCTCCTCCTCCCCCTCCTCCCTCCTCCCTCCTCCCTCCTCCCCCTCCTCCTCCTCCTCCCTCCTCCTCCTCCTCCTCCTCCCCCTCCTCCTCCCGAGGAACCCGAGGGGGCGTCGAGGATCGGGCGTCGGGCACCTCCGCCGCGCGGGCCTCGGCGGCGAGCTCCGCCGCCTCCACGGGGGGCGCGCCCGCGCCCGGCGTGGGCAGGGAGGCGGCCTTGCGAGCGGGCACCTCAGCCTGCGGCGGCCCGGGGAGGGGTCGGATCGGGGAGGGGGAAAAAGAAAAGAAAGAGGAGGAGGAGGAGGAGGAAGAGGAGGAAGAGGAGAGGAGGAGGAAGGAGGAGAAGGAGGAAAGGAGAGGCGGAGGAGGAGGAGAAAGGAGGAGGAGGGGAGCAGGAGAGAGGAGGAGGAGTCCAGAGGAGGAGAGGAGGAGGAGGAGGAGGAGGGGAGGAGAGGAAGGAGGAAGGAGGAGAGGAGAGCATGAAGCAGAGGAGGAGGAGAGAGGAGAGGAGGAGGAGGGAGGAGGGGGAGAGAGGGGGAGGAAATGAAGGAGGAGGAGGAGGAGGAGGAGGAGAGTCCAGCAGGAGGAGGAGGAGGAGGAGGAGGAGGAGGAGGAGGACGAGGCGGAGGAGGAGGAGGAGGAGGAAGAGGAGGAGGAGGAGGAGAAGGAGGAGGAGGAGGAGAAGGAGGAGGAGGAGCCGATGCTGAAAGTGGCCTCTCAGGAGCTGCAGCATACGGTGGAGTTGCCGAGCGACGAACCCAAACCTCCAACGAAAGTCTTGAACAAGAACTCAGGCCGGAGATTGCTCATGATTTCGCACCAACGAGGCCAAATTCCTGAGCTCCAGGGCCATCCAAAAGTGATCTGACATGAAAGCCGTGAACCGCCTGCAGAGACGAAAACCTGGTCCACGGGACGATGCCGAGAGCGACACGTGCTGGAAAAGAACACATAAGCGCCTGCACATCCATGCCCTCCATGCCCTCGCGCATCGCGTCTCCCTGGGATCGCGCCTCGGAGTCCAGACAGACCGCTGGGAGGAGGAGGAGGAGGAGGAGGAGGAGGAGGAGGAGGAGAA